CTCTCCCTCTCTTTTTCTCTCTTTCCCTATCTTTCCTCTCCCTCTTTCCTCTCGTTCTCTCTGTTTCTCTCTTTCTCTTTCCTCGCTCTCTCTCGCTCTTTCCTCTCCCTCTCTTTCTCTGCTCCCCTTTCTCCCTCTCTTTCTCTCTCTCTTTCTCTCCCTTTCTCTTTCTCTCCCTCTCTCTCTTTTTCTCTCCCTCTCTCTTCCCTCTCTCTTTTTTTCTCTCTCTCTTTCTATCTCCCCCCCTCTCTCCCTCTCTCCAATCTTCTGCTCACTTGGCAAGCTGGCTTCAGGCCGTTCTGCAACAAGCTGACACACATTATTGGGCTGGCTCTCTCCTGCCCTTCCTGCTTCCTGCAGAGATGCAACAAAGGGAGACGCCCAATAAGCTTGTCAGCTCATCGGAACAGCGTGAGGCCACTCTCTTTTTTACATACACACACAGAAAGAGAGAGAGAGAGAGAAGGGAAGCAGGGAAGCGAAGTGCCTCTCTGTCTCTCTCTGCAAATGCAGTTCTGGAGCCGCAGGTTGCCAACCCGTGGCCTATAACAACATGGGAATTTCCAAGACTCACCATATAGAAAGATTGCATTTCTAGCTTACCTACACTTTAGACAGACACCATTTTGAACCTTTTCTTTAGCCTTCCTTCCTTGCAATGCTCTGGATCCTCTTATGATTTTGGATTGATCCAAATATCTGCTTGCATAATCCTTGTGGGTTCATTTTTTGCTTTCTTAATCTTGACCACTGGATCTGAAAATAACATTTGAGGTTTCTGCCTTTAGCTAAAAGAATTGAAGGAGACCAGCATATAATAGACCGTAAGGAAAAGTCTTGTTCTACAATTTACCATCGCTAGAAGGGTTCCTGTAAAAACAAAAACCATTATTGATGTAAAGACTTCTAGTAAAATAGATACTACTTTTGCTATGGTCCGTCCACAGGTGTAACAGGAAATGTGTCATAGGAAGAGACTACAGATGTTCGTCTACTTTTTCTGATTCTACTGTTCAGGAAACTAGGCTTCAATTCCCAGCCGTAGGGAAAAAATTCAGTTATATCTGGCTGTGCTGCCAGTTTTTCCATGACCATAGTTGAAACTACATGACTCCCACTTTGTATCATCTATTGGTCAGGTGGTTTTCCATTCCCCCATTATCAGCAACACTGCCAGTCATGAGGAGCATACTGTTGAATACCCAGGATGAAGGGTTGTAAAATTATTAGTGTGCCAAAAAATACATGATTTTCCACTGCATGTTTGGAATCCAAAGAGCTGACCAATTCCTAATTCAGCGTCCTTATAACTGCATCATGTTTCTTGTTCCTGGGAAATGTTTCCAGTAGGACAAAGTTTATTTCTTGTGTGAGCCCAATTTGGTGATGTTAAAATGCTTTCTCAACAAATTCTGAACAAAGGCTTTATCCACTACCCCACCTCCTAATCACAGATAGTACAGGAGAGCCCTCAGTAGTATTATTATTAAAAAAAAATGTACCTTTTGCTCTTGGTGTAATTTTTTTTTTAAAGTTCAATGATCAAACCTTTTTACTAAGCTCAACCTCTGAGAAATATCCTAATTTATTATAGTTATCAAGACTATAAGCAGCTTACACAGACGTCTATATAGTATTTTAGAAAACTAGTTTGCCAAACTTGAGAAATATAAACTACACCTACTGTCATCTGAAATGTAGACCTCTATCAAAATAGAAGCTATTTTTATTTGGCTGGGATTTTGGTGCAATAGAGGTGTGCAATGATTGTTAGGCTGCACCTGTTATTGCTATTTCAGTCTTGAATTCTCTAGACTGGTAGTACCAATCTCTTAATTACTTTGATCTTGGATAAAGTTCTCAATGGGATGAAGTCATTACAAAAGGTTTCTATCACTTGAAACAGGCTTTATGGTGGAGATCCCAACAGTTTTTTGGTGTATGGCAAATATACCACACTGCCTACAAATTGAAAAAACTCAATTGCTCTGAGTAGAACTACATCATTTAGTGAAACAAGTTCCTTGCCATCAAAAGAGCTTTTAAATGGTTGCATCTTCGGAAGAGGGAATCAACACCTGACCCATTAGAACGCCTAAATGGTGTACATCCTAGTCATCCACAATTGTCATGCATTTATGATGGTCACAGCATCCCATGGTCTCATGAACATCATTTGTGATCTTCCCAGCTGGCTTCCAACAAGCAAAGTCAAGGGGGAAGCCAGCAGGGAAGATCACAGTCTCAACCATGATGATTCAATTAATGACTGCATCAAAAAGATCATTAAACCGGGTATGGTTACATGATGTTTTACTTAATGACTGCACCACTTAATGAATTTTCTGGTCCCTATTGTCATAAGTCAAGAACGAGCTGTATGTTGCCCACAGAATCCAACTTGGTGCATACCTAAATTGGATTCTGTGGTCCCTGAGGCGTGGAGTGTTATATCTTTCTTGGTAGATTTCTCCTTTTCTTGAATTTCTCTTATAGCCTAAAGAGAGAATACTTCTGAGAGTGCAGGTTCAGAGAATATAGGACAGTGAAATAGAATGAACTTTATAGAAGCTTTGTAGAACCAGAGACACTCCGATTCATAAACTGTTGTGAGACCATAGAAGTAGCCATTACTCAGGGAATATAAATTTTGTTTTCTAATTCATGAGAACTATAAAGTTAATATCTTGGTCCTAATACCTAGCCCTAGCTTAGTCTTGATATAAACTTAGACTCTTGGACTTTCTGAAATTTCCACTTCAGTGTCAGACTACTCTGGATATCTGCCTGTTTAATCTCTTTGGTTTGGTGGCCAGATTTATTTTGTTTTCCTGGTTTCTCAACATCTGGCTCTGAAAATTGCTCCCTTCTAAGAATTAATTTTGCTTAACAACACAGTTCCTGAACAGTATCTTGACAGCCTTTGGTGATAAAACAGAATGGCATTGCATTATAATTGAAATGAATTATAAAGTGACTCTCCTTATCCATGAATCAACATTAATTCATCCAAAGAAAAACTTAAGCTGCAGTTACTTTTTTTAAGGCAAAGATATCTTTCAAAATCACTTTTATTTATCTGTGTGGGCAGCCCAGTTGCGATTTATTTAATACTATTGAAGTAAGATTTTAAATTGAAATCTTTCTAGTACCAGTATTAGAAGACATGATGATGGAATTTATTTCCAAATAAATATTAGGAATGCATCCATAATATCTATATAAGATAATAAATATATACACTAGCCTTGACCAGATATTTTAAGGAATGAATTTTGCATTGTTGCATGCTGTGTTCTCCAAAAAACATACCATAATATCTCATAATCTATTTCTATAATTGAAAATGACAGATTGCCATAGGCTACAAATGCCATGGACTGTGGTTTTAATGTATAGCTCTGTGGGTTCAGCTGATTAATTAGTTGCTAGAATTCGAAGAACCACACAATTTGTCTCATATATCTAAGGTTTTGAACATATTTTGAGAACATCACATCTTGTCACAAACTGTAACTTTTTGGTATAGCATGGAAAGTTGCAACGGAAGGAAGGAAGGAAGGAAGGAAGGAAGGAAGGAAAGGGAGAGAGAGAGAGAGAGAGAGAGAGAGAGAGAGAGAGAGAGAGAGAGAGAGAGAGAAAACCTGAATCTGCCTAATGTATTTCTTTAGCAGTTTTAAGTGCTTTAAAAAGTATAGTTTTTAAAATCCTTTTTGTATACCCAGAAGTACTAGGAATTTTATCTTTAGAGTGGAGAGTATGTCCTATTAATTCTGTTCATTAAATGAAATAATAAGTAAGAAGGTATATTTTCCTGTTTTCCCCTTTATTGGATAAATGTTGTGAGATAGAATATGAGGGTTAATTGTTAAGGCAAAAACCTTGATAAGATGTGACCTTCACCTAGTCTGTAGTTCTTTATTATTTTCATTATTAGTTATTATTCTACCTTTGGTTCAGGAATTCAATATGGCATACATAGTGGTCCTTCCTTCTATTTTTCTTCACATCATCTCTGCGATGCAGATGGGTGTGAGAGAGATGAATTTGGGTAGATATTTGACAGGAATCTGGATCTCCCCTGTATTAGTCTATCATCTGTTGTACATCTTTTTTTTAAGTTTTGTATTAATACATAATTCATAATTTATAAATATTTGAAGCTCATAGCATATTTTGTCTATTAAGATACAATGTTTTGTGGCAAATGGCGTACAAACCATTTGGCACACAACTTCATAAGAGTCTATCACTGTTTGACTATTATATAACACATTTGAATGAATGAATAAAATAAAAGAGCTGTGCCTATGTATGAAGGCTTGAATGTATGTTAATTCAGGGCCCAAACATAGTATCAGGTATGCCAGTGTGCCCAGTAAAATTAAGGCTTCCGTGAGTACTCACTAGAATGGTGAGTATAGCTTAAATTGAATGAACACATTAAAATGGGAAGGGAAATTTACAATATAGCATCTCTTTCTATTTATTTATTTGTTTATTCATTCCCCAGATTTCTCGTAATAACTTTATACCAGATGTTCTTTAGTTTATAGTTGATAGTATATATATTGGACAGCAATTATGGCTCTTGAAAAAATATGCTTGTTGTATCTGTCAAGTTTCATACAGCATCTGACTGCTTTACAATGCCATATGAAGATTTGATTACAATATGCTGTCAGGAGCCAACAGTGCATGCTATTTACTTGGCTCAGTGCCAGCTCTGACTACTTGATTCCTCAAAAAGTTGCTACCACCCAAAGGGGGCAAAACCAATGAGCCATAGGGCATGCTTTTTATTAAAGAGGAGTCAAAGAGCAAAAAGAAACCACATCAGCTGCTGTCAATACTAAGCTAGTGCCAGAAACCCCAAGGCTACTACTGTTGCAGAACAACTGCCAAGCACTATAAATCTGAGATTTACTGTGACGCAAAGTTTCCTTAAGAGCTTAATTTCTGAAGCTACTGTATTACTTTTCTTAAAGTGCTGTATTTTAGGTACAATCCACTTGAGGGAGTGAGGGTTAAGATATAAGTGTGAGTTTGATGAATGAAAGAACTACTTTCTGTGTGGTTCTTGGCAAGTTGCCATGTCTTTGGGGATCATAGAAATTATTGATGACACAGAACACTTGTATGCCCTTAGCCTGTACAGCTGACTCAACACAGAAAGAATTGCATTCAGAAGAAGAAAGTATTTGTGAGAGAGCAATGGAACTAGGAACTTTCTTTTGATGTGAATAAGAGTTTATTAGAAATGTTGAGGAATTCTAGGTATGAAGCATCCAAACTGTTTCATGTGTAAAGGCTTGTATATATTATATGAATTTATAATAGCAGTAGAAAACTGTTGAGTTTTGGTATTGAAATTCTTAAAAAATAGAAGTAATGTAAGTAAATCATTTCTTTTGTTACAATTTATGATAATTACAGCTTGTTTAACATGAAAACAATTTACTTGTTCATAAATCACAAATAGAATGTTTTCAAACTCCATGTCAGTGTTTCAAATCAGTAATGTGCATTCCACTTTTGTTTCAGGCAAATGGCATTAAAATCGGCCCTCAGCATGCTGCTACTAATGCAACACTTGCAGGCAATCAAGGAGGACAACAAGCTGGTGGAGGCTGCTGTTGAACCTATTTTTACTTCCTAGCTGCCTGATGAGACCTACTAACTTTCATCCTTCCCTCTCTCCACTCAGTTTCAACTATGACATGAAATTATTGTAAGATGGCATCATGTTGCGGAAGACTTTATTCTTCAAATCTTGTACAACTTTGAATAAATGGTTAACGTTCACTTAAAATACAGATTTTGGAGATTGTATTCATATCTATATTTCCATTTCATTTTGAAGTCCATTGTTGTGATTATTTTTGTCAAATATTGTCTTGTGCCCTTGACTACGAACTGTATTAAACACTACAAAGTCATCTGAGTACTTTATTCGGTTTGTGTAGTTAGGTGGCCCAGCTACTGTGGTTACCTAATGTTTACTATTGTAGAACTGTCCTCAATTTTGTCCATTTCCAGCTCTGAAAAAAAAAGAGATTCTTAATCCTATATTTATCATTTACTTTCTGTATATATAGTTTAACAACCTGCTTGGATGTATTTGCCAAGCTATAATTCTTTAATGCATTTGCATAAATTCAATACATTTAGAGCTTGGAAGTGCAAAGCATTATTAGAAATTGCTTAGATATTGAATTTTAAACTTTATTGATATGTTAGCATGTTTGTTGTCTTGTCATTCTAGAATCCTGACTCCCCAAAAATGCTTTATGTATATTATTAGAAGCTACATATATGTTACCTATTTTAATGCCAAATGTTTGCTATTTGCTCACAACTTCCATAACACCTCTTCAGAAATGGATTAGCTGTTTGCCTTAATTGTGTAGGTTAAACATATTATGAATGAAAACAGAGAAAACATTGAAACTCCAAGTGATACATTATGAAGAGTTTGATCGTAAATTTATTTCCATCTTCACTTATAGGTAAATGTTTTTCATCAAGGACAGTTTTTCAGCCTAGATGTACAGTAACTGTGTAAAGTTGGTTTTCTTTTGGTTTGGGCTTTTTATTTTTATTTTTTGGTGGCAACGTGTAATCTTAATATGGTAAACATCTTGTCTATTGTGAAGGAGGTGTGACAATAAAATTGCCAGATTGCAAATACTTGATTGAAGACAAAATTGAAAATGCTTTAGTACTGCACTCCCCATGGTGATTTTATTTTCATTTTCTCCATAGTTTTCATTTATTTTCCCCTGTGCACAATAAGTTCTTGGTAATCATATATTAAACAAGGGAAGATGGATAGGACTTTAAGTGAAAATTCTTGAACCAACAGTATTGCTAATTGCTTTTTCAAAAATCACCCAACTAACATTTCCAATTTAGAACCCAGAGAGAAAATATGATATGGATATATTCAAAAGGAAGTGGAAATAATTTAATTTCTTAATTTTAACCTAATTTAATGTTAGAACTTCTTGATAGACATTCAGTAACTGAACAATATATGTAATTATTACATTTTTATCATATCACTTCTAAGATAAAGATATAGCAAATAGTATTTGTGTCCAAAGGTTGCACATTTTTGATAGTCACAAGTATAGGAGTTAGGATAGTAACAGTGCTACTGGATGGGCCAGACTCCAGGTTTTGTGAAGGTGAGTGTTTGTGTATGTTGTGTGTGTGTGCTAATTGGGTGAGTTTTTCTAAAAAGCTTTTCTACACAAGCCTTAATTTACCTCTTTTTCTTGGATTTTGATATTTCCTTTAACCAGTAATGGAAAGTGCAGCACCTTGCCACCAAATTTCAGTGATATGATCTGAGGGATTTTAGAAGCTGCAATAAAAATATTGAATTGGCTTTGTGCTGTCCACAGGATGCCCACCTGTTCTAAGGTGCCCAGAGAAGCCTTTTAGCTTCATGACAATCATGAAACCGATTTCTTGGAGATATGATTACCTACTTTTATTCATTAGGGAATGCTTCATTCTGCTTAACATTGGTCTATAAAGTGCTGGGTATGGCAATGATAGAAATATGTGACACATACATATTTAGTTCAACTGCAAATCCCCTTCATCTACCATGCTGGGTTGGGGACAATAGGGGGAATTCACCAGTATATGTGGAATTGACCCAAGACCTAAAATCAGCATGCAGAATACAAGGATTTTATAGGTTTAATATGCATGCATGATTTCAGGCTACTGTTCATGATAAGAATACTAGTAAGTGATGTTTTTTCTCTGATGCTGTCTTCTGTCATGATCTCAATTGTACTATTCAATGTACATTTTCTATAAATGTAATAACAAACTCATAATTTAAAAGATCTGAGTTTGTTGGCCATGAAAATTGAGGTTTTTTTATCTGTATGTGATGAATCAGCTGTTCCATACCAAAATACTTTTCTGTAACTGATGTTTTTCTTCCCTCTTAAGGTACAGTGTTCCCTTGCAAAAATTGAGCAGTTCTGAAGATGAATAATTTGAAATAGAGAATTTGTACCTTTTAAATCCTGTTCTTTTCATCAAACATTTTAAGCAATGGTATATAGATTTTTCCTGCTGCTTAGGCTAATAGTTTCTGAGCCCTACTAGCAACATTGTCTTGTGATGTTTTCATTGGATATGGCATTTTAGTATTGTCCACCACACCTAATATGCTCTCTATGTATAATATATATAGTACACATATATATTTGAAATAGAAATTTATGGATTTTCTATTATATGTGTGTATTACGTGTTTCTAATCACTGGATTTGTATGGTACAAATTCCAAATGTAACAGATCTAACTGCTTAATGCAGTGTCTCACAAAAATGAGAAATGATCAATACATGTTACTTATACCATAATGTTTGGAAGCTACTTAAAACATGAAGTATTGTTTATATGTTCAAAATTTATATTCTGCTTCATCTCTTGTCAGTATCATTCTGCCTTTGTTACAAGCAAACATTGTTTTTCCCTTTTTTTCTCCCCTTCCTATCCCATTTAAAAAACAATACAGAATTATATTGGAAATGATGCTTTAGCAGCCATAGTGTTACAGGTGTTGAAAATACCTTTGCATTAAAGAGAAACTTTGATAAGGCATTGGAAGTACCCTATCTGCTTACTGTTGGTCATTCTTAGAATAAGGTATTTTAGTATATACTTAGCAATTGCTACATTTTATGGAACTTTTGTAGAAAAGTTTAAATCTCTATAGAAATTGGTGCAGAGATTTGGATGATCACTAGGAAAACTGGTTAAAATGTTGGAAAAAATTCTCTTCACAGTACTTTTTTCCATTTATTGTAAATACTGTGGAAGTAGCCTTTAAGGATGGTGCCTGGCATATTTACATACCATAGTAGAACGTGCTTTTAAGTTTAAACTTCATCAATTACTTGGGTTTTTTTGTGGTTTTTTTTAAATGAGGCACTCAGAATAGTTCAAAAATTGCCAAATAAGAAAACTAAATTACATTTATGGAAGTATGTTTTCATTTAGAATGGAAATTATTGATCTTTTACTCAGACAATACAAGTGGTCCTCGACTTACAACAGTTCACTTAGTTACTGTTTGAAGTTACAACAGCACTGAAAAAAGTGACTTATGACCATTTTTCACACTTATGACTTGTAACATCCTCATGATCATGTGATTTACATTTGGATGCTTGACAACTGACATAATGGTTGCAGTGTCCCAAAGCCATGTGATCTCCTTTTGTGACCTGACAAGCAAAATCAATGGGGAAACCAGATTCACCTAACAACCTTGTTACTAATTTAACAACTGCAGTGATTCACTTAACAAATGTGGCAAGAAAAGTCAGAAAATGGGGCAAAACTCAATTTTCTCACTGAGCAACATAAATTTTGGACTCAATTGTGATTGTCAGTTGAGGACTACCTGTACGGCACGGGTGTCAAACTCACCACGTTATGTGACGTGTTGCGACATATCACGACTCTGCATTGCTGGCAATGGGGTGGGCGCGGCTTCGGTATAATGCATCCGGCCTGTGGGCCAGCAGTTTGACACCCCTGCTTTACGATAAAGTTTTTTTCTCAGGCGTAGAATTTCCTTGCAGCTTTGTTAATGTAGTTTGTTTTATTGTGATATTGAAGTTTAGTTTGTAAATAAATCCACGATGGTACTGTACTATGCAAGCAGCTGATGAACTGTCTACAGTACTAGGTTTGCTATGCATGAAAGAAACCAAATCATTGCTAATAAAAACTAAAATGCTTTAACAAAGCCAAGACCATGACAAAAATAGTATATATTGGATCTATCGCTTCTATTCTTGGGATGGATTTTATATAAAAACCTGGACAATGTTTGTTGACAATTTATAACACCTATTTTTCCTTGTCTGAGAACCGTTTACGTTCTTTGTGATATAATAGGATGAATTTGATATCACCCTCACGGACTCAGTCCAAATAAAAGAGGTACGAGATCGTCGACTCCACAAAACAAAACAAAAATTTATTCTAACGAAACGACTGTGAACAGGTAAGAAAATAAAATAATTAGGTGGGGAAGTGGTTCCATTAAGCAATGATGTATTTCTAAAAACATTTCAGATAAAGAGGATTTTGAAAGATAAAATCTCATTTAGGTCAGGCTGAGAGGTTCAATTACATTTTAGTTTTTTTAATGTAATAATTGAAGATGGGCCTTAAGCAGATTTTTAAAGCCTTTAAACACTGGAAATAGATATTTTGTCCTAGCAGACAAAACATGAATTTCTTTCTGTAACTTTCACATTACACTTTCACATATATTCCTCTCAGTTGCATGACACAAATATAAATAAGAATTGTAAAAGTATTTCTGAATTATGGACTGGTTGGTTCTTTCTTCCATTAAACCATCTTGCTACTTTATGATTTTTTCAAGAAAATACACCAGGAGGCAATGAAACTGAAATATAATTAGGGTGTAATTTAAGTGTAGCAGACAAAGCAATATAAATTGTTTTAGGTGTCTTGAGATTTATATTTTTCTTTCACAATTCAATATTCATAAGTACCCTGGACTGATAAAAATCAATACTTAAAAACGACAATTGAAATGCATTTTTCTGTTAGTTTTCTGAATCTGGCATCTGTCTCTATTTGCACAAAGAAGGAAAGGCTGGCACTGAAGCTGTCATCAGATAAATTACAAACTTCATGGACTATCAGAATGAACAGAATTTTGAGATGGGAATATCTGGGATTCTTCTCCAATTGTTCAATTAATACTTAGCATTTTCATTATGTTATACTTCATATCAGGTTATAGCCTACAATAATTACTGATGTTATATTTCCATGAATGTAACAACATATTAGTATACTATTATTAGTATAGAACAGGGGTGTCAAACTGCCAGGCCGCACCGACCTACGTAGTATCGTTTTGGCGCGGGTAGGGTAACGGCCGTTTTTTCAGTGCTATCCAACCCTGTGCAGTGCACTACAACACTCAAACTGTGAGGACCATATCTTATTCGTGAGACAAGGAAAAAATAAAAAAAAGGTGAGTGCATCAATGTTTAAGAGGGTAAAAGGCTTATGGTTTAAGAAATGGGATACACCTATGCCTCTTTCTCTGAAATGTGCTTCTGTTAAAACAGAAAATGGGTTAAAGGAATAGGTTTTTGTTATCAATCTGAGATTTGATTTCTAATTTCAGATTCTGAGGAATTATTCTTTTTTAGAAGTGAGTGTTTTGTTGTGTTTTGAATGTTTGTTCTTTACAGCTTTTGAAATTTCAGATGGGCCTATCAGACTCAAAAGTTTGGCCTCCTGGACTTAGATTTTGGATCATGTTCACATATTCTGTAATGATTGCAGCACTGGTCTCTGGCCATAGGCCATGAGAAATGATACACCATTTTCAAGTCAGTGATCAGATACAAATTGGAACAGTAATGGTACATACTAATCTATTCCCATCCTTGCTGTATTGGTAACTCTGTATATTGCAAGGTGTTTTTTTCATTCAGAAAAAAGCACAAGTGTGTGAAATCATCAATAAATTATTGCATGAACCAAAGTTTTTTCAGTGGTGTAAAACAGGGGTACCCAACTCCGGGCAAACCAATACCATTCCATGGCCAGTTAGGAACCAGGCCACATAGCTGGAGATGAGCAGTGGACAAGCAAAACTACACATGTGCTAGATCCAGGTTATGCGCTCCTCCGTCCCCGTCCCCCCCCCCGGTCCAAGTGGAAAAATTTATAGTGTAAAAATTGTTATCCATTAAACCAATCCCTGGGTGTCTAAAACGTTGCGTATCACTGGTGTAAAGTTACTATTCTTGCAATACCTGCAGCGTCTAGAACCTCTTTCAAACAAGTCCACCACTTCCTTTTGTGAATGTGCTGCTATGTTCACATAACATGTAACTTGTGTTTAACTGAATCATGGTTTCTTCAGTATTCTGGATATGCATGGCACATTGAATTACATATTAATACATTCGGAATCCAGACAACTAAGCTAAAATATAGTTGGTCAGTGTCCTATAGTCTGTCATACAACCATCTAAATTGAGGAAAAACTGAGTTCTTTGTTGTTGCTAAATGACATGTCAGCTGTCAGTATCAGGGATGAGAGATTCTGAGAATTCTAGAAAATCACAGATTTCTCACAATTGAAGAAATATTTAATTGGCAATGTAAACCAGATAGTATTTATGTGGACAGCTGTATAAACCATAGAGTTTTTTTTATACATAGTACATTAAACCAAAAGAATTGCACCATATTGTATGGTTTGTTGTGTAGTCTGTAAATGTTTTACTATGAAATGCTGCCAAATTAGATACAATATCCTATATCAAACTACTGTAGGTGTGGCAAAAATCAGAATGGCCATTTCCACTAGATGGAAGCCGAGGGATAAAAAAAAAAGCTCTTTGCTATGTCTGGCAATCGTGGGAATGTTTGCAGTCCATATAGAGTAGCTCTACAAAAACATTGCCCCTTGTTCTGGGAATTTAGTCCATTTTATACATGAAACAAACCTCATTTAAACCCAAGAAAACTAGAGTACTCGAGGATATTAATGGTAAACTATGGTCTTGTATTAGTGCAATAGTTTACTTTAGGAGAGCACTGCTCCTCCAAAAATAAATTCAATTGAATTTGAAAGAGGGAAAGGAGCGGTGTAAACTAAAGCTCTCTACCACTTTGTTTTTTTTGTTTTTGTAGATTATAATACTTCAAACACTTCCAGCTCAACTCCTTTCCTTCGTTGAAAAACGGAGCAGAAACGACCCTTTTCACCGTCGCTGGCCACCTGAAGGCAAGGCAGAACTCACTGTAAATTCCTTTTCCGCATAGCTTCAATAATTCTTTGGTTCCCGCTTACGAATGAAACAGGCTCCGGGCGAGTGGCGCAAGCCAGCAAGCAAAATGGTTAACAGCCCGGCGAGCAGCTAACGCCGAGCTCTTTTGTGAGAGGCCTCGAGTTTCCTGTGGGAAACGCTGACGGCCAACATGAAGGGTTTTCTCACTTCCTGTGGGTGAACTACTTAGGGGACCGACGGCTGCTTTGCGGGGGCGACTCCCTGTCCTTGCCTGTGTTACTGATGGAGGAAGGGGGTCTCCATTTCCTGAACGGGCTTCTGATGAGGTTTCCTGTGTGGATCATCAAAGAGCTGGGAGAGGACCGAGGCTTTTGCGCTCGCATTAGGCGGCGTACGCTTCCCCCGACTGGCGGAACAGCAGATCATAAACGCGGAGCATTTGCTGCTTCCTGCAGGGGATACCCAAGCGGAGGCGGAGAGGTCGGAAGCTGCTTGAGCGTGGTCTGGGGTGGGAAGCCCGCCGTCGAGGCGCTTGTGCCCGCTTGTTTTCGCGGTGGAGCTGCCGTTGCAAGGAAGGGGCATCTCGCCGTTTCGCGCCTGAAAAAAAATTAATGTGGAAATTCAGTAGTCCTAGAGAGGCGGCCCCGGAGCTCGGCTCATTGTTCTCCGCGAACATCAGTCGCCTCTCCACAGAGCCCTTCAAGCCGCGCCTGCCCTACCCTTTTAAATCCGCCCAGCCCCTCCTCGCGGATTCACGGGACAGCCCAGAGCCACCTGGTGCTTTGAGAGTTTCCCTCCCCCGCCCAT